CCTCAGCGGTTAACCACAGAACCCATTTGAGGAGACAAACCGAATCAGTCATTGTTGCTATGAAAAATAATGTCTTATTTAGGTGTACTGATTTGACCAGAGAGATCAGAAATACTGCCTAGTGTGATGAAAAGAATATAGCCTAGTCTTGTTTCAGGAACTGCATTCAGGGCTGAACCAGTAAAAACGTTCTTCCATGGTCTCAGCTTCAGTTTGTGCCTCCAGCTTCCTGCCTTGTGTTCCTATCTCGACTTCTCTCAGTGTTGGACTAGTACCTAGAAGTGTAAGCTAAATAAACTCTTTCTTTCCAAGTTGATTTTGGTCATAGTGTTTATCACAGCAACAGAAACAAGAAGAGGGGTAAAGCTGAAATAGGAAGTCAGACTCAATTACTGTGAAGTGTCAGTCCAAAGAGATCCAGGTACCAGACTATAGGATAAAAGTAAAGAAAAAGAAATAGAGTGAGAGGGTTTAATGTACAGTGGAACCTGGGGCAATTTTCTGAACCATTGGATATAACCACAAGAGCCATTTATAGGGTCTTAGCAGCTGCAGCCATGGCATTCCAGGAATTGTTAGTGTTACCAAACTAATTCATGTACATAAATAAAGAGCCTTATGAGAGCAAATGACAGAAATGTTGATCTAAATACTAAAGAAAAGCAGAAATTTGCTTGTATGTGTAGCTTCAAATGTTCTTATCTAGCTTTTGGCATATCTGGATCTTATGGTTCAGACAGTATCAACGCTTTCCATTTGTAAACTAGTTGCTTCTACTTCTTTTCTGGTGTTGGCTGTTTTTTTTTTTTTCCCCCCACACATGTGCCCTTTTTTTGTGACTGGAAAACTGTTTAAACAAAACAACCTCTATTGTCTTTCATGTGCCCAGAAGAATCTACTCTTTCTCTTTCATGGAATTGTACTAATTTTAATGGGGAATTTGGCCAAGTTTGAGTCATATTTTCATCTGCAAACTTACTTCTGTGGACATGAAGAAGGCAGGTTGAGTCTTATGTGATTGGCAGGGGTGTTATTCTTCTATAAACATGTGGAAAGAGGGAGCAAAGGTTGCCCAGAAGGGCAATAAATTATTATAGGAGGATGAATACACTCAGGATGATCCACAATCTAGCATTTATTGTGGAAGCTTAAATCCAAACTAAGGAATAATATGCTTGCTGTTTAAGACATCTATTTCTGAATTATTATATATGCTGTGCTATATGTTTCCTGGTAGGCAGGAGAATGGCCCCAAAAGATGGGTTCTGAAGTCATTATGAATGAGAAAATCCTGCAGAAAAGGAAATCCTAGAAGGAGACTAGGAGATGCATGCTGACTGTCTCCTAACAGAATTCTCAGTAGTTAGATATGAAGTACTGTAGCATGACGGTGGACCGGGAACAATTTAGAACTGTAACAGAGATGTTTACACATGCTTAGTAGGGGAGTCAGAACTCACATATTCTCGGGGTTGGTCTAGTTACTATTTTAATCTGTGGGGTCAAATAAAGCAACTAGACTCCTTGCTGACATCAAGGAAAAGCAATGCCTTGCTCTTCTTACTAACATAGTTCCTTGTACTGGGCACACAGACAGGTACAGAATAGAGACCCAAGATGGATGCCCAGGATGACCTAATCCTGAAAATGTGGAGGTCTTTCAGTACCAATCAGTGGTGCTTTCTTTACCCATTTCTCACGTTCAAGAGCTCCTGAACTAGCCAGTCCTTCCATATGACAATGGCTACTCCCTTCACCACCTCAATACTGAGTAGCAGAGAGAGGAGGAAGATGTGTCTTTTATTAGCAGTGTTCTCATCCACTATCAAGTACAAAGTCAACCTTATTAATGAGTCATTCATACTTACTGGTCTGTTTTTAGGACATTTACATCTCAAAACAGATGAGACAAAAAACAAATGCTGGATCTCAGGGACTGGAGAGATGGCTCAGCGGTTAAGAGCACTGACTGGTTTTCCAGAGGACCTGGGTTCATCTCCCAGCACCCACTTGGCAGCTTACAACTATCTGTAATTCCAGGATCCAACACCCTCACACAGACATATATAAAGACAAAACACCAATAAAAATATAAATAAATAAATTTAATAGGTTGTTTGCAGTGGCACATGACTTTAATCCCAGCACACAGAAAGCAGAGGCAGTCAGATGTTTGTGAGTTTGAGGCTAGCAAGGTTTGCAGAGAAAATTCCAGGACTGCTAAGGCTACACAGAGAAACTCTGTCTCGGGGGAAAAAGTGCTTCTGTTCTGGCAAAACTAAAAGATTAATCAAATAATTATAGAATATGATGTTCAAAATAAACATTGAGCAATTCTTTTGAAAACAGGGTCACTCTCTAGACTTCTTTATTTTTGATTTTAGGTAGTGTAAGTTGATTAAACATTGCAATTCTTGTTTACTTCAGTATGAATACTCAATTCTATCACCCATAGATTCACTGTAATTAAGAGCAGCATTATGGTCGGGTGGTGAATGCCTTTAATTCCAGCACTTGGGAGGCACAGGCAGGTGGATCTATGTGAGTTTGAGGCCATCCTGGTCTACAGAGCTAGTTCCAGGACAGCCAGGGATACACAGAGAAATCCTGTGTGGGAAAAAAATAGTATTATTATTATGGGATTTAGACCAGCTCACACACTGATCTTGACTTGTGTGACATAGGCTATTATCTTAGGTTTTCTATGAACTTAGTGCTTTGTGTCAAACCAGGTGCCTATTTCTGGGACTAGAGGAATTGGTGACAACTAGGATTTGGAAAGCATAGCCAACTCTTCAAATTATTTCACCAATCTGTCCTCACTTGGATTTGCCAATCACTTGTCCCTTACCCTCATGGTATTCTGGTCATCTTAGTCTACAGGACTTATAACAACCCTATATTGAGTGCCTATAGTGGGTAATATGCCAGACATTGCTCTCGGTACTCAGAATGTAGTGGATATACTATATGTTGGTAAATATTTGTCCATATAAATAAGTAAAACCACTTTCACTAAGTGTATTAGTTAATTTTAAGAAGCTGTGACAAAAATACCAAAGAGAACAAACTAAGAAAGGAAGAGTTTACTTAGTTGTGATTTCAAAAGATTCAGTTCACTGCTGCTTGGCTCTGTGCACTTGGGCATAACATTACAATAGCAACGAGAAGCAGGAAAACAAGAAGGCAGATAGGAGCAGAGAATGTGGAAGGAATTATGGGTACAACACTCAAAAGTATGCACAGAGTAATTTAGTTTTCCACCTGCTAAAGTTTCAAAAACCTCCCCAAGCCAAACCATCAGCTGCAGACCAAGCATGCAAGAAGAGAGCTTGTGGCTGGGACTGGGCAGATCCAAATTATACTAGTAAGGAAAATGAATGCATCAAATGTCATATGGCTTCATAGATGTAGCAAATAATTCAACATGAACCCCGGAAGAGTGCGGTAGCACAAAGAATAAGCTCCACTTCCACTGACTTGTACGAGCCAAGTTCAGGACTATCAGGGTATTTCAGTTAGAGAGAGCATTGCTAAGAGTTGTGGGGTTATATTGATGTCGCTATATCAGAAATTTAACCGTTATGAAACAGACAGGAATAAAATGAAAACCAGTGGGGTGGGAGGGGACTACAATAGAGGGACATGAATGGAGTAATTAACTTCTGTCGGCTAGTGAGGAGGCCTCATGGTAAAAGGGCCAATACAGTGTTCGCAAAGATGGACCCTGGAATCAAGCCAGATCAGTTTAGAATGTTGACTTTGACTTCACTCGTTGTAACTTGACCTCCCCAGCTTTCAGCTTCCTCATCTGTAAAGTGGAAATAATAATAATGCCTAGCTCATAGGGTTGACACACACCTGCAGATAATTCACCCATCTTAGTAAATAGCATGCAATGAAAGTTAAACTCCTCTTCTTACTACACTGGAGTCAATGCTGGAGAGGTTCAATCCTTTTCAGTGTGAGAGGAACAGCACGAGATGAGGTCAGGAAGTTAATGCATCTGACACGCTGAGAACAAGTCTCAGAGACAGTCTATGGGCTGTTTTTATTGGTGCATATGAACTAAGTACAGATCTGAGGGTTAGCAGCTAGAAATGGAAAATAGGGCATTTTTTTTCCTTGTTGCAATCTGTATACATTTTTAAACAAAAACTAGAGTTTGTCATTTTATAGCTTTTAATATACACTTGGTAGATTTTTTATTGCATTTTACAAAAATAACAATTATAAAAAATTAGAAATAATACAACCTATTCTTTGCCCAGATAGTTTCAGAAAAATGTAACCCAGTGGGGCTGGATACTACTATTTGTGGAAAGACAAGCTAGGGCCTTGTTGTAAAGACCCTTGAATATCTGACAGAGATGATACTTTGTGGAAGGCAACAGGACTAGCAAACATTGTTATCTGAGAATTATGTGCAGACAGATGAAAGGACTCTAAATGTTCTTCCTTGTGTGAGTTTTCTTTTTCTTAGCATCTTCCTATGCAGTCCAGGCTGGTCTAAAACTTACAATCATTCTGTCTCATCTTCTGAGTTCTGAGATAACACACATATGCATCAGCATGCCTAAGTTTTTCCTTGGTGTTTGTGGTTAAGAGGGAAGGCAGGAACTGTGAAGTGTTTCACCAAGATAACTTTGATAAGAGTCTGGCTAAGCAAAGGAATTTGTATTCACTAAAATAATAATAATAATAAAAACGTTAGAAACACGTGCATACATGCTTTGTGAGTAGTAAAGCGTATTTCTTTCCCGGACACCTTATAATGCCTAAACAAACAAGAATTTCTGATTACCTAGTTTAGATCACATCCTCTGCCTTCCACAGACACCTCTGTTACAGTCTTTAAACCGTGTAGGAAGGGAAAAAACCTGGTGTATTGTTTTGTTTTTGAGACAGGGTCTTACTCGGTCTGTATCCCTTGCTAAGCCTCAAAGTCCTGGGAGAGCTCCTTGTCTGCTCAGCCTCCCCAGTGCTGGATTATTTCCGGCATGGGCAAAATAACTGTTCAGTTCTTCCCTTGGGGAGGAGTTTGACAGTTCCCAGCGCAAGGTTTCCAGAGGACCCCACTTGGCCTAAGCCAGGCTCAGGAAGACAGACACCAGTCCAGATCAGGTCCGTCCAGCCACAACTTCTGTTAAAGCCCAGACCTCAGGCTGAGGCAAGGTGGGCTGCACCATCGTCCGCGGGACACTGGTCTGGGCGGTCTCCTCAGCTGTCACGGTGTGAAGAAGCCAGGCTTGAAGACCCAGGGCGCCGCTGGGGGCAGCTCCTGGGGCCTCCGGAGGCCAGCCCTAAGGGCCCAGTGCGACCCGAGCGACCTTCCCGTTCCCGCCCCCGGACGCGGCCCGGTTGCCTGCAGGCCTCACCCGGGTGTGGCCGCCGCTGCTCAGCAGAGCCTTGGGACTAGGTGAGTGCACCAGGGCTGTGGGCGACCGGCTTCTCCTGGGAGGGCGGGTGGGCGGGCGGAGGCCAGCAGCCTGGCTACCAATGAGCTTCCTGGCGGCTGCAGAGCCACCAGCTGAGGCCTGGGACTGCCTCCAGTCACACTGAAACCCCCGAGGCAGAGCCCAGCTGCTGCTGTCTGTCACTCATAGCCCTGCCCTGCACCTCATCTACCTAGGACTGCATTCAGCCCCTATCTGAATGGTCTCTAATCTCCTGAGCTGCAGGGAGACTTTACCGGGTAGGGTGGGGGCGCTTTGGGAGTTTCTTTCACTTTCTACCTCATTCTTTCAATTCAGTGTGAAAAGCTCGCTTTTTGAGTTGCCAGTGTCTGAGTTGTCACACCTAATAGTTCTCAATAAGTAATAAATGACTATGAAGTAAAATCAAATGAATTAAGTGAACAAACATAGTGAACAAACACATGACCAGCACAGTGGATATGAAGTGCAGACAGCAGACACGCAGGCTTTCAACTGTTTTCTCGGAATTAAGCGAGAGAAGTTTGGTTCTATGTAGTTGTTAAATAATCACTAGACTCCTGCGCTCTGTTTTCTTCTTTAGTTGGATTTGAGTATATGTGTTTGCTTAAAACAAAATATACCTGAACTGTTTCTTGCTTGTAATATGTTCTCCCCTGCTTTTGTTTTTTGAGTCCTCATTGCCACTGTAATATTTATTGTGTTCCCACAGTGCACAGGTACTTCTAAAGGAGGAACCGTGTCACTGACTTGCATGTAAAACCAGACATTTTCTTTGAGGACGAGACCATGAACAGTGTCTGTTTTCCTTAGACAAGGACTGGTTGAGTTGCAGGTGAATGAAGAAAGCTAATTATGTCCCAGTAGGAAAAACGTAATTTATATTTGTGTACAACACATAAAAGCTGCCTTAACACAGTTGGTCACTGCTGCAGCTCTGTTTCCTAGATCCCAGGTTCCACAAAAACCAGTTGACCTTGAGTCTGTCATTTGATCTTTGTCTGTGTGTGTATGTGTTTCTATGTGTATGCACACATGTGCATGAGCCTGTGGGGCCAATAGTCAACATCAAGTATCTTCCTCAAGGGTTTTCTTCCCTAAACTATTGAGACAGCACGTCCTGAGCCCCAGGGTCACTGATTCAGCTAGATCAGTTGGCCAGTGAGGTCCAGGAATCCATTTGTCTCCACCCTGCCAGTGCTGGGGTCACATCCATGCACCACTGCACCTGGCTTTGAAGTGGGTGTTGGGTCCTTATGTTTGCATGGTAAGCACTTTACAAATTGAACCATTGTCCCATCACTAGCTTTTACTTTTTTAATCTCTAAAATGATGCCACTTAGATAAATTCCTCCCGAGTTAAATTTCTTGCATGTTCTTTGATCAAGGGTGAAGTTTTGAATTATTTCATGGAATTCTACATACTTCCTCTGCTCTGCTTGGGATTCTGTGAGTCTTGACATTCTTCTTTGTCTGCAGATACAGCTCATTTGCTTTCTTTACCACATTTGCAAGCAGAGCCTGAGACTTCAGTTGGTAGAGAAAAGAAGGCAATATTTTCTCCTATACTGTTACAGGCTCCCAGTCTGGGTCTCAGTTGTTTCCAGTCAATGCTGTCAGATAATCCCATGATTTCCAGAAAATTGTTTCCTTATCAATTTTATCATAGATCACAACATTTTAGAGCTGGAAGGACCTTGGATATTTTTTTAGAGGACACTTAAAAGGGCATTTTATTTAATTATTAAAATATTTCTTTGTGCACTATGTTTAACAAATACATAATCCCAGAATAAAATCGCGGTTACCTATTTATTTCAAGTTTATCTGGTGATGTAGAGTAAATGTTTCGCTTGGTGAAAAAGACTGACTTTCTTAGGCTCTTTTCCCAAAGAACACGTGCCATTCAGAGATGAAATGTTCAAGGTTGATAATGTATAGAGTTCTGGCCACACACTTAACTGTCCATTTAAACTTCCTCCTTATATTGCCCCATTTAATCCTTACTATAAACCTAAGACCAAGGTACAGCTGAAACTCCTTTGACCTTACTAACAGCTCTGATGACCTGAGTTAAGTTTATCCTGGCTTGGAATGAGTGGACTGATTCTACAAGTTGTCCACTGATTTCTACATATTCACTATAGTGTGTGTGTGTGTGTGTGTGTGTGTGTGTGTGTGTGTGTGTGCACACACTAAATGTAATAAAATTGTCAAGTTTGATGATACACACTTGTAATTCCAGCACTGGATATGCTTAGGCAGGGGGACTGCTCTGAGTTCAAGGGCAGTCTAGGCTACTTGGTGAGATATTGTCTCAAAAACAAAACAAAACAAAAAAACCTAAACAAGAATGTTTGAATTCCACTATGATTCCACACTTCAAACCTAAATACTGGTGTATCCTCATAATTTTTACTGATTTAGGGAATTTAAAGTAGATGACACAGAGGGTTGTCATTAGTGAACAACTTAAGGACATTGTACCATGACTAAAAACTGGTTGTGTGTGTGTGTGTGTGTGTGTGTGTGTGTGCATGTGTGCACATATGCATGAACTTGCTAGCTTTGTGTCTTTGGAGAGAGGTTGCTTGCCAACATCCTAATAGGGAACACTGGGAATGCAAGATGGGCTTGCAGGACTCTTATAATTAATTGATGAGAGCAAAGAAGTAGCCTATAAAATAAGTGGAAATTTATTTTGCTTCCTTTTGTCTGCCAGGTTTAGCCTCATGGAAGGCAGAGACCAATGGTAGCTGCCTGGAAGTCTGAGAGCCCATGCCAGTTTGATTTAGCTCAGGAGGCTAGTGTTTTCTGCCCCGGAGGCTGATATGATGGAATAGACTTCCCTTTTGCTCACAGTATTATGAAAAAATTTAAAGCAAAAACTTTTATTACTTGCCCTGGAGCTAGAGCTCTAAAATGTACTTTCTCTCCCCCACTCCCACTTTTCCTAAACCACTTAGCTTTTAAAAATAAATAATCCATTCATGTGCTTGCGATTGTTGGATTATTAGTCTGTTCTCATTTCTGCGTGCTTCTTCCTCCCTTATTTCTTCCTTTTCTCTGTCTCTTCTTTGTCCCTTCTCCCTTCTCTCTTTTTATTTTCTTCTGCCCTTCCTGTTTTGTTATAACACAATTTTCCACTCTGTACTTCAGTTGCTCAGGAACTCAGTATGTAGCCAAGTCTGCCTTCAAACTTGCTGCAACCTCCCAAATGGTGGGGTTATAGGTGTGAGCCACCCCATTCAGCACTGGGTTCCTCTCTGTAATATATCAAAGTAGTAGGACCAACTGGTGTGCTTCTTTTTAGTTACTATTTTATTCAGCGAATATTAATATCTCAGCAGTTTACTGAGTATGTGCTATATGCCAGATAAAGAATAGAACACTGAGTTTGAGCAAGAGAGTAATCTATCACATATTTAATTACATCAAATGCCAGTGTAGGGTAGGTGTAGTTGCATGCCTGTATTTTCAGAGGTTGGAAAACAGAGATAGGGGTTCCCTGGGGCAAAGTGGATATCTCCTGTGTGTTCCCAAGTTACTTTTGCTGGAAAGTTTTGTGTTCAATTAAAAGGCACTGCCACAATGAATAAGATAAAGAGATGGAGGAAATGCTGGATATCAGCTTTGGACGTCTACAGGCATGAATACATGCAGTCATATGCATTCACACAAAACATCTATAACACACAGACACAAACAAAAATTTTTATTTAATTTTTAATACTGATATGGATTCAAGGATCATAAGAATTTCTGGTTTCCCTGGGTCTCCCCTCTATATGGATGAATTTACATGAATGATTGTCGGCTTTGGGTCCTCCTCACAGTCAGACTGAGGGCAGCACAGAGTTACACTTGTCTTTCTATTTCCTAGCTGAGTTTTATATTGTTCCATGTCCTACTTGTAGATGCTTGCTAAGTAGTAAAGGTTAGTAGATTCATTTAACTGAAAATCATCATGTTCAGTATATTTTAAAAGGTATTTAATGGTTCAGAGACTTGTTCAGTATATTTTAAAAAGTCTTTAATGATCCAAAGATTCAGAAGCAGATCATTCTCTTAATACTTGATATCCAAGTCTTCACATATTATGCATGTGACAAGCAGTATTGCAGGTGTATTTTACCTTAAGAAAATTCAGCACTGGTAAGTTTGACTTTATTCACACTATCTACCATTGAAAGATTGTTCACTTGATAAAATAGTTATCAGCATGATTGTTTGATTCATAAAAGAGTTATCTTCCTTGCTAAAGATCAAGCAATGAATGTTTTATACTGGAGACTCCCCCACCCCGCGCCCTTGCACTAAAAGTATCCCATGATTTTCAAAGACGCTAAATACCACCTTTCAGGGTCATCCAGCGCTGGTGCTAGGAGCCTTCCAGGATTGACCCTCTCCCTAGAGTTCTTGACTCTGCTGCTTTAGTTTCTCCCTTGACATGATTGACAGAGTTAGAAGTTACATACAGCAAAAAGTTCCAAGGCAAAGCAAGGCTCTGAGATAATAGATTTTGCCATGGACTAAAAGGCAGAAGTTTGTGGATTGCTGCCATCCATAGGAACTGACACAAAGTGTAGGTAGCTTAATTTTAAAGTTTTAGTTTATACAAAACTTTAACAAGAAAGATACAAGTATTCAGCTGCATCTACTTCGGATTGTTCCTGCAGCAACCAAATGTAAAGGTGTTCTTTGTCTGTAAGGGACTATGCTGATACATTCTTTTCTGCAAAGAGCCTGATACTACTGCACCAAACCATACTGTGTTGGTCTTTTCCCTTGCTAGCATTTTGTCATAGACTTACCAAATGTTCTGAAAAACTTCTAATAAAATAAAATTTCTCCCTTTTCTTTTTTATCTATTTTTTCCTTTCTGCCATTCTTCACTCGGTACAAAACCTTCCAATTACTTTTCTGCAAAGTAAGATCAACCTCTCTGTCAGCATCCATACCTCAGATATTCTTTTATTTGTCT